CTAATAGAGAATGTGATAATAGAACATTGTGGTAACACCTAAGCTCCGTGCTCTTTCTGAACAATGCTGAAAATGCCTCAGACCTCCAGTGTGATGTGATAGAATCAGACAATGCCTTCTTCCAAGTATGCTTGCCAAGAACTTGAGTGTGAATCTCATCAAGCTTTTAGCTAGAACTGCCAGTTTACAGGAAATACATCCCACTGGGAAAGGAATATGGTAAATCACAAGAGAGAAGTAATCAGCAGAATCTGTAATGTGGGAAACTACAGACATTCAGCCCTGCTTCTTCTAAGAGAAATGATGAGAAAAATAAAGGAGAGTAGGTGGGTGTGAGAGAGCGATGAAAAAAATAAAGGAGAGTAGGAGGGTGTGTGAGGGCAGAAAGAATGCAATTTAGTATCTAGATCCACAAATACAGTGGGTAAACTATTGGGTCTTGATTTTAACAAACCAAATTAAGGAAAAAAAAGATATCAACCCAAAACATTAAAGATATTTTGATATTAATAGAATATTATTTAAAGAATTCAGCCATGTTTTATTTAATGTTTTAACTTTTTTATTTTTAGAATTATTTTTTTTATTTTAATTTTTGTGTTTGTACCATCAAGTCAGATCTAACCGGTACGGGAGGAGATTTGTCCCTTCTTCTCCAGCAGAGCATCTGGTTAGTCATGTTTTAGAGATACCTACTGTAATGGCCAGGAGGGACCAGTCCTTGGAGAAGGACATCATGCGTGGAAGGGTGGAGGGACAGAGCAGGAGAGGAAGACACCAGATGAGATGGATTGATATGGTAACTAGAGCAATGAGAGTAAGTGTGTCAGAGTAAGTGAGACTGGCTCCGGACAGGGCAGGCTTCAGAGCTGTCATTCATATGGTTGTTCTGGGTTACAGTCACTTGATGGTACATAACAGCAATACAACAACAACTGTAATATTTACAGTTGAATGATAGGCTAGCCCTCCAGTATGTATGTTTTAGAGTAGGAAACAGAGGCAAAGGAGTAGACTGTTACTTTTATTATTATAAGTGAATGTTGGATACACAGGATTCATCATGATATTTTCCACTTTTGTATGTTTAAAATTTTCCCTTATACAAAAACAGAACTTGTTTGAAATTTTCAAAGGATGAAGACTTCATCAACACAAGGTGAATTACTGCTTGAAAAATTTAGGCTACATTAAAAATCTTTGCTTTTTGAGAAGATATATTAAAATATACTGCACACATATAGGTCAATATTAAGGAGCCCTGGTAGCACAGTGGTTAAGAGCTCAGCTACTAACTGAAAGGCCTGTGGTTTGAACGTGTCAGATGCTCTACAGGAGAAAAATCTGGCAATCTGCTCCTGTAACTAAAATTTATGTTACTATTACATGCTATCAAGTCAGAACCTTCTCCTAGATGACCCTCCAGCACATTTTCAGAGTCTGTGATTTGCATGGGAGGAGATAGCCCGGCTTTCTTCTGCAGGGCAGCTGTTGGATTCGAACCACATACATGTCTTTGGGTTTGCAGCACAACACTTTAACATCCTAGGCTACCAGAACTCCCTTATCTAAGGATTATAGCTTTGGAAACCTTGTGGGGCCATACTGTTCTGTCACTCTGGGTTTGGTGTGAGTTGGAATTTATTCAGTGGCAATAGAAGAACCAGAACATTTGCTAATTCAGCTTTATTTTCAGACATGGAATTTAGTGAAATACAGTATAGATTGAGGCTCAATGTCAAGAAGACAAAGATTTTCACCACTGGACCAATTGGCGGCATCAGGATGGATGGTGAAGAGATTGAGATTGTACACAGCTTTAGTTTGCTTGGCTCCATAGTCAACAGTCTTGGCACCAGCAGCCAGGAAATTAAAAGGCGCATTGCCATGGGAAAGTCTGCTGTTAGGGACCTCTCCAAAGTACTGAAGAGCAATGGTGTCTCTCTGGAGACTAAGGTGCATCTGATACAGGGCATGGTCTGCGCAATCACTTGTTATGCATCAGAGAGTTGGACAATGACCAAGGAGGATAGAAGGAGAATTGATGCCTTTGAGCTGTGGTGCTGGAGAAGAGTATTGAGAATACCATGGACTGCTAGGAAAACAAACAGATTTGTCCTGGAAAGGGTTAAACTGGGTGGTTCCTTGGAAGCAAGGATTCTGAGGCTCCGTCTAACATACTTTGGACATGTTGTGAGGAGAGACCAGTCCTTAGAGAGGGACATCATGCTTGGGAGGGTGGAGGGACGGCGCAGGAGAGGAAGGCCCTCTATGAGGTGGATTGATTCAGTGACTGGGATAATTGGGATGGAAGTGTAGGAGACAGTGCGATTGGCACAGGACAGAGCGGAGTTTAGGGCTGTTGTACATAGGGTTGCTATGAGTCGCAGGCGACTCGACGGCACATAACAACAGCAACATGTGGCATATAGGTATTTATGTTCAATTCTCTCTCACTCTCTGTCATTGCAATAAAGTTAGAATTGGCTCATAGCTGACGCTCCACTGGATTTCTGAGGTTTTAAATAGAGGAGATTGCTCATTTTTCTACTCTGAAGTCTGGTAATAAGTTGCACTGCCAATTAACTCAAAAGCGTGGTGTTTGAGTCCACCAGCTGCTCCATGGGAGAAATATAGACAGATTTTACTGCCTCTGAAAACCAGCTTTGAGTTGATTCTGACTCGCCAGTACACCACAAGGAGCCAGAGAGGTGTGGCATTTGGGTTAGTGGCAGAACTCCCTCAGACCATGCCACCATAGTTTATGAAAGCCTGTGGTGTAGGTGCCATTAAGTCATCTCCAGCTCATTGCTCTCTGTGTACAACCTTGACCTGCTCCATCCCCACACTCAACTATGCTTCATCCCATTGCTGCAGTCACTGTGCCAGCCTGTCTTCTCTCCCTCACTGAATCTAGAGGTTTGATATCTTTAAATGGATCTTTCATATCAGGTGTTTTGTTTGTTTATTTTTTGGTAGTTTGTGGGAACTCCTGTTATTTACAGGAGAAAATGTTTTTGGTTAGGTTATGTCTAATTAGCAGGAAATGGGACATAGGGACACAAGGCATTAAGCATCTCTCTGAAAGGGCCAGGGAAAGTGAGAATAGTATAGCCCCTCACTGTCCCAGAGCAGAAAGTAGATAAAGAGCCCATAGCCCAGTCCCATGGTGCCTCTAAGAGCCACATCAGCAGCAAGAGGTTCATTTATTTGTTGTAGATTCACAGACTTGACTCACAGTTTGGTACTGAGAATGGGATTCGTTAAGGGAAATAAGTTGGAGAGTCAGGAATGCAAAGAATATCACCCTATTCAAATCCAAGTTTTAGTCCAGCAATCCCAAGGCACAATTCCTCAATTAGTCTTGAATATCTGATTATATAGTTTTAAAAGTGAAAAGAAAATTACATATTCCCTCTGTTGGATTAAATAAACTTGGAAAGAGAATGGGAATGATTCTTTTATTCTTTGATTATATATATATTTACTTTTTAAGTTTGTGTAAAATCAAAAGGATTACCCAGTCAGGTACTGGCAGTACAACCATGAATCTGAAATCCATGATTTTATTTATCTAAATTGATAAAAGACCTAGGTAATTTTACCACAGAGAGAAAGAAATGCAGCAAGTATTGTCACTGTTTTGGACCTTTGTTTTAGATTCAGAGAGATGTTTGAATGCCTGACATCTATGAATTTTTTAGTTATCATTTATCTTAAAAAGACTGTATTAACTGCTACCCAAGCAAATATAAAGAACTTTTTTCCAAAGAAGGAAGGGAGGGGGGACATGGAGGGAAATGTGCAACCATGAATGAGTGGAATTCTAGGTTCTTTATAAACTTTAATTAATTTTTTTTAAAGACTGTATTAAAAACTTAGAACCAGGCATAGTTAGAGTGTTAAGTTTTACATAATACTTGAGAGGAGAAACTCAAAACTCCTTCCCTTCTTCATGTTCCTACTCCTAGAAACCCATCATTGGCAAGCACAAATGCTGGCCAGGTTGTGGAGAAACTGGAACCCTTATTCACTGATGGTGGGAGTGTAAAATGGTGCAACCACTGTGGAAGGTGGTATGGCGCTTTCTCAAAAAGTTGCAAATGGAGATACCATTTGACCCAGCAATTCCACTACTGGGAATATACCCCACAGAGACCATAACTGACATCCAAGCAGATTTATGCACACCCATGTTTATCGTGGCTTTGTTCACAATAGCAAGGACTTAGAAACAACCTAAGTGTCCATCAACAAATGAATGGATAGAGAAGCTCTGGTATATTCACACATGTAATACTGTGCTGCATTGAAAAACAAGAAACTTATGCAATATTCTTTAAAATGGGTGACTCTGGAAGACATTATGCCGAGTGAAGTATCTCAGTCACAAAAGGACAAATACTGCATGGTGCCACTGTTGTAAAACAGGACTGACATCGGGGTTTAGGGGGCGAGACTGAGAAAGATGGGTTCAATAATGTATACTTCATTGAAATTGAAACAGATGAGGTAGAAAACTGTTTAAAAGGGATATGTGATTAGGTATTTTTGTCATGATAGGAGTCCAGAGCGAAGGTTGCATAGTGGAGTAGACCTGGGGGAGGGTTTGTAAAACAATGAAAGAATTTTTCTTTTACTTTTCCAAGAGGGTAGTTTACTGGGGGTGGATGATTGGGAGGGGAGAAAAGTGCAACAATGAATGAATGGAAATCCAAAGTCTCTGTAAATTGTCATTGACATTAATAATAATTTTTTTTTAAAGTGAACATAAAAAGAAACCCTTCATTGGGTTTCCAAGACTGTAACTCCTAGCAGAAGGAGAACGTCCGTCTTTCTCCCTGGACAGTTACTTGATAGTTCTATTCACTGTTGTTTTATAGATGATAGAAAGTATGTCTGTTCATCAGATTATGTAGTCTAGTTTGAGAGATCAGCAGTTTCTGAGTTGGGGAGTAATAGATGTCTTCTTTCTAATTGTATTTTGTCCTTAAATATAGTTGAAGCTTCCTGTCAAAATGGGGATGAAACGATTGAAACTATTGAGGCGGCTGAGGCACTCCTCAATATGGATTCCCCTGATTCTATGCTGGATGAGAAGCGACTGAGTGAGTAGTTTCGGATTAGGACTGGCCTGTGTGTGCTTTTTAAAGTTATTCTTGTCCAGTCTGTATTTTTGTGTCCCAAGTCCTTGTAGAATGTCTGGGATTTTTTGTTTTTTTAAATCAAACCACTGCCATTGAGGAAGCTTCACCTCATAGTAACCATCAGGTTTCTGAGACCGTAAGTTTTTGTGGGAAGCTGCCCATCTTTCTTCTACTGAGTGCCTGGGGGATTCAAACCGCTAACTGTTCAATTAGCAGCCCAGTACATCATGCATTACATGACCAGGGCTTCTAAAGTATATTAAAAACTCATTTCCATGAAATTGGAACTGAGTCATAGCTGACCCTCCATCCAGTTTTCAGAGACTATAAATTGCTTGTGAAAAGACTATATTAAGTATACACTAAATAAATATAATGATATTTTTAAAGTAGATGAAGGCTACCTGCCTTACAAAATAATGTTCTCTTCTACTCTCCAAGATGCCTTGAGATACTTTTCAAACTTTGAACTAAAACTAACTCATGAGTTCACTTATAGCTAAACAAAAAAATTTGCTCAAAAAATAGTATCACCCATAAGTACTGTGAGCCTTTAAAAAGATCCACAACATGAAACCAAATGATGAACATTTATTTTAAAACAAAGGTGACAGTAAGGAAACAGGGCAAATTAAATTAGTAAGAAATTAAACAACCAGAATGGAAACAATGGGGATGTTCATCCATTTTAAAAAATGTAACCAATCTGAAAACTTGTATAAAATTTTTAAGTGAATACCTAGACTACTGTGCAAACCTGCCTCAAGACACTGAAACAGTATTTTAAAGTACATTTTTCTCATCTTAGTCCCACAAGTACATGTGAGATATTTTAAGATACAGTACTAATTGAAGTACTTTTGCTGAATGTTTATTTACACACACATGCAATTTTTAAAAAATTTTAATTTGAGGATTGAAATCTCTAGAAACAAAGTAAAATAAACTGTCACATAACAGATGGTGCAGAATTTCTTGTATTAATTTGATTGTTGAAAGTATTGTAATATGTAGACCTCAAAGAGGTCTTTGTAAATACCAGTGGATAGAGAGCCACTAAAAATGTAGCACCTCATAACATAAAATTCATTGCATATTATTGATCTGCTCTTAAACACTTGTTTTTCTTTGGGCTTTTCTAACACGGAAGTTGTTCAACTCATAAAACGACTACTAATTCCGTTCAGAATATTTACTATTTAATATGGGAGCATTGGTGGCCTAGTGATGAGAAAATGCACTGAAATACTGAAGGCACATCGTTTGAATCTACCAGCTGTTTTGTGGGAGAAAATAAACACTCCTGTGCATTTAAATTGCCTCTGAAATCCCACTGGAGGGTCATCTGTAGGTTATTTCTGACTTGACGGCACACACCAACAACATTATTTACTGTGTATAGTATATTTTATATAGCCTTCTATATGTTAGATGCTTGTGATATTTTCCCATGAATTGGTTCCACCACAGGGACGCATAACAACAACTGAAAAAGTGGCAGTTTGAGTGCACCAGCCACTCCTTGAAAGAAAGATGGACAGTCTCCTTTCATTTATCACTTAAGAGCCTGACTGTGAGTCAAAACTGCTCAGTCACTGTGAGTGTGTGTAGGAAGGAGCCATGGTAGCGGTGTTTAAAGCACTTGGCTGCTAACTGAAAGGTCAGTGGTTTGAGCCCACCACCAATCCCATAGGAGAAAGATGAGGTGGTTTGTTTCCATAAAGCCTTACAGCCTCCGAAAGCCCAACTGAACAGTTAGTTCTTCTCTGTCCTGTAAAGTTGCTGCTTGTCAGAACCAACTTGACAGCAGGGGGGTTTGATACCTTTACAGTTAATGTTAGGTAGTGCAAATGGTATGTCCTTGACCATTAACCTAAAGGTTAGTGATTCAAACTTACACAGTCGTACTGCTGAAGAAAAGGCTGGCCGTTTGCTTTCACTAACAAAAGAAATATGTGGAACTATTATAGCCATAATCAGAAACATAAAATATGCTGAAAGTAAAATACAAATGATTATTGTTTCTTTGGTCTCATAATTCAATTTTAAGACATAGCTATTTAAGAAGGTGGTAAAAACCAAAAGAAAGGCCATGGAAGTAATATGGTCTTCTGGAAGCAGTGACTGCTCAAGTTTAGAACATCAAGGACATTTTATGGAGAAAATATTTTGTCCTGAGATAAAAATGACAAATACATTTTCAAAAGCTTAGACAAGAAAAGAACATTTAAGGAAGAGACAGTTATTTGACCAGAGACATAGTCCTGTAGAAAAAAATTTGTTAAGTACAAAATTTTTGGTATAACTAGAGTATAAGCTGTATGGGAAATGAGATTGGAAAGTTAAGTTTGTTCTGAATTGTGGAAACTGAATAGCATGCGGTAGAATTTTGTTTGTTTTTCCTTTTATTCTCCCCACAAAGTATAATATTTTTTGTAATATATCTTTGTAATATTTTTGTACTGACAGATCATATGGTTAGACCAGAAGCTCTGTTTCAAAAAAAATAACTTCTAGAGCAATGGAAAAGAGCAAAATAGGAAGTCTAGGAAAGATGATGTGGAAATAGTCCAGTCAAACAGTTGATTGAACTAAAATGTGAAGAATAGATTTCAACATGTTGTTTATTCATTAATCTTTCTAGAAACAGGAATTTGTTTTAGAAACTTATTTTGACTGTCAAAAAAAGAATTGATTGTAATTACCTAATTTTATTTCCTTTAGATAATAATATATTTAGTTCATCTGAAGAAGACCTTGTTATTGCCCCAGTCACCCATGTATCTGTTACGTTGGATGGGATTCCTGAAGTAATGGAAACTCAGCAGATTCACGAGACATACGCTGAGTCGTTAGGAACCTCGTCACCAGAACAACCTAAGAGGAAAAAAGGTGAGTGTTTAGCTCATTTACAGTCATATGGCTTGAGTACATATGTGCAATCTAAATTTTTTTTATTTATTTTGTTGTTGTTGTTATGTGTGTACCATCAAATCGGATCTGACTGGTACAGGAGGAGATTGTCCCTCCTTCAGCAGAGCATCTGGTGGATTTGAACCATGCACCTCTGGCCTTGCAGTGCAGCTTCTTGCCACTAGGTCACCAGAGCTCGCTACAAATTATTTTTGTTCAAGTGTATTTCTACATGAGGAGGCAGGAAAATTGTTGATGCTATTACATGCCATCGAGTTACATACAACCCTATGTATAGCAGCTCAAAAACCTGCCCTGTCCTGAGCCAGTCTCACTCACTCCGACACACCAACCACCATAGATAGCCCCAGTCACTGTACCTATCTCATCTGGGATCTTCCCCTCCTGCACTGTCCCTCTGCCCTTCCAAGCATTATGTCCTTCTCCAAGAACTGGTCTCTCCTGGCATTTTTAAACATGTAGAATGAAAATGAAAGCCTTAACTCAAATTGTAAGGTACTTCATATTTATTTTATTATTGTTATTGTTGTTATTGTTAAGTGCAGTTGAGTTGAGTACAACTCATAGTGACCCTGTGAGCAATAGACCTGAACTTTGTCCTCTCCTGAGCCATTCTTATCATCCTTGGCACATTTGAGTTCATTGTCACAGTTAGCTTTGTCATCCATCCCGTTGAGGGTTTTCCTTTCCAAGTATGATGTCCCTTTCCAAGGAATAGCCTCTCCCAGCAATATGTCCAAAATGTGTGAGATGAAGCTTCACCTTCTTTATATCCAAGAAACATTCTGGGTACAGCTTTTTCCCATCAATCCTGATTTTGTTTCTAGATTATATAATACAGTTTTTAAATTAAATTATACATTTGAATTTTTAGGCCTACCTAATAGAAGATGGGTTTTTCAGCTCTTAGATAAAAGGGTTTCAATATCTATTTGATGTATCAAAGCTCAGAAAGAGCTCAGGTCAGGTGAAAACAAATCAGCTTCCTTCCAATAGGCATAGTTTGAAAATGTCAGTATAACTTCCAACTTGAGATGTCATATGATGAATTGAAAATCAGGGAAGTTATGCTGTTGTTTGTTGTTATGTGCAGTCGAGTCGCTTTTGACTCATAGCGACCCTATGTACAACAGCCCTAAACTCTACTCTGTCCTGTCCCCATCGCACCATCTCTGATACACCCATCCCAATTACCCCAGTCACTGAATTCATCCACCTCAT